GACTTTTATTATCCCTTGTTTCGCGAACAATAAAATTTTATTTCAACGTAATTGCTTGTGCCCGCTGACTTGTAAGTGCAAAGAATTGCTGAAAAAAAAAAATTTTATCTTCATTTTTTTTTACGCCCGCCGCATAACAAACCCAAGTTGCATTTTCGTGGGAGTATCAAGTACCGAAGTCTTGCGCAGATGAGAAACATGGTTATACATGGAATAAAATTTTATTTCAATTCTTCTCTCCGATCAATGATCTCACTTACAATTCTTTGAGAATCACACAAATCTAATGGAAAAAAAGAATTAATTTTATTTTTTTTCCGCCCTCCTCAAAATTGCCTTATAAAAACTCAAGAAACAAAAAAAGTCTGGCCTTACATATGTGCCCTGGAACAATACACTGACCTAATTAGTTTTAGAAATTTTAGTTAACTTTTATACAACTCCAATACTCTCAAGCACACAGGAGTTTCAACAACATTGTGTTTGACCTTTTGACCTCCAAACCAACTTGTGTTACAAAATAAAGCTGCATATTTGTGTTCATAATACTTCAAAACTGATGATTAAGATCTGTACTGAATAGGAAACTATCATGTTAGACTATAGAGAAATACATAAAGAATGAACTTTAGTGTGTTGTGGGTACAGAAGGCATATGAAAAATAATTAAGAAATAAATTAATTAAAGATTAAGATCAGTTATTTAAACAAGATGATAATATTGGCTGATATATAGCATTAGTGTTTACATTACTAATACATGTAGAAACCTCCAGAGTGATATCTACCTAGTATGTACTAAATGATGCACCATACTTGAAATCTGATGAGTAATACATGTATCTGTGGAATAGCTAAAAATTGGATAATTTTATATAGAATAAATAACTAAATATGCAAGAATTTCAACCCCAAACCCATGTATGCTGAATATTCCAAGTTTCATTGAAATCTGCTATGTGGTTTTTCAGATATCAGTGGAACAGCTGACAAATGGCTAATTATTATGCAAATTGGGTAATTAATATGCACAGATCGAACCAAAAACTCAGGTTATTGCTAAGAGCATTTATACATTTAATTTCAAGTGGTTCCTAGATATCAGTGGAACATGCGTACATCAACACAATACATGCATATGCACACATGCACAAACAGGGTAACAGAAGTCACAACTTTAGCACAAAAAAGGCTGGAAAAATTAGGGCATTTAAAATTAATTATTGTTTTATAAAATATCTACATGTACATGTAAGTAACCACTGCTGGGAGTCTAATCAGTGCAAAGAGTGAAAGAAGATATTCGTACTTGTAAAACAATTCCTATCCACCTTCTCAAAATTTCAAGTTCACCATCTTGATCCAAGTAAAGCTCGTCATCCTTTGGTAAATCTAATTTCATTCTGTGTCCTATAATCAACAGACAAGGTCATGAGATAATGACCCAGGGGTTATAAGATAATGGCACATGACCCAGGGGTCATTTACT